AACAATCTATTTAGTATTTATAAAATTTAAAATAATATGTATAAATAATAAAAGACCGGTCCGGACCGGTCCTCAAATTATGGACCGAGGACCGGTCCTATTAACCGGTCTAAGACCGGTCTTACCAGGACCGATCCATCCCTACAAATATACATTCCTTTGGTGATGTGGAAGCGCCTTCATAATATATTAAAAAAAAAAAAGAGAAATAATGTATTATTAATTTTGATTGCCAAAAATGTTTAACACGAAAAAAAGCATGCAAAATATTTAAAATGTCATAAATGGATAAGTTTTTGGTTGTAAGTAGTCACTTAATTATGCAGGTATTACGATCTAAAAATTTCAAACGAAATAAATGATCGGCAGGTAACACGAAGATTCATTTTTTCTCCTTTGTTTTCTTACTTCTATAAAAAAAATGTCTCATGACATCTCTGTCGATTGTTTAAATGAAATTTTTGAAATACGAGGATGCTTATTAGTTAACCTATCGTTTATGTATGAATTTATGAAGAAAAAAGCAAACTTAAATTAACATGGCAAATATTTCTCGTGATATCACCATAATTTTTTGTTTGTCAAAGCTAGGTGTTGTAATAGGTTGACGTTAAGAAATCGTTTAATTGAACGATAATATCATTAATCCAAAGACTCTTGATAATGCTATATGAGAAGATTGCAAGGAAAATCGGGTTCTGATAATTTTTTTGACTAAAATTAAGACCTTATTGTATTATATAATCTAGTATCAAATTAAAATGCAAGCAATAAAATCTTAATTTTGTTAAAAAATTCTCAGAACAATGATTTTCCTAGCAGTGATGAAATAATAGGGTTTTAAAGTTGAAGTCGAAATAAAATATAAACTTTAAGAGATTAATGTCAACCTTTATATCAGGCTACTTACCACTAATACCTACTACCTTTCTACATTTGAAAATTTTAAAATGTAGATACGATTGTACCGATGAAGCGACCAATCAATAATGGAAAGAATTTTAAGAACTTTAGCTAATATATTAAAATATTAAATTTAGTTATAGCCAAATTTGTCAAATCAGATTTCATTACTTACCGCATTTCAAATGGAAACGTAGAATCATTAAAAGAATTTTATTAAATGGTGAAGTCGGTTTAGAAGAGCTTGAATTTTTAGCGATTGTTAAGAATTTTTATCGAAATATTTTCGCAAGTTAAAATTAGGGAAGGAAACGTTTCTCTGGAAACGACCATTCAAATGGATTAATTAAATTTCTTAGAATATTGCTTTGAATTCGAAATGGAAGTGAAAATGCAAGATTTATGTTTATAATTCATTTGAAAAATAATGTAAAATATTTGTAGGATATTTTTATTTATCATTAGAATTTGATATAAAAGAATTTTCCAATTGAAAACATCCAGTATCTTTCGGTCTAATAAATAATGCATATTTTAATCCGATAAAACAAATCATTCATTAAAATTGAAAATGAATTATGACAGAGTTCTGTCTGATAGCGGTTTCAAAATTGCAAAAAAAAAAAATATTTGTCACATCATGATTGGGTCTTGAATTCGCCAATTCGCATTAAAATCAACAGCTTTGTAAGGATCCGCATGGGTTTTCTTCGGTTTCCTATTAGACAAATTATAATCAATATCAAAACGTTATATAATATTCGTACAACAGAACATTCGTTTTTTTTATTACCGGTTCGTATTTCATCCGGTTCGTTTCTGTTTTCGTTTGTAATAGTAGGAGTTACCGATTTAGGCAATGTGATCGACGCTTTTAGGTAAATTTTGGAAGATATTTTAGAGGTCAATATGATGTGATCAAATACAGTTCAATTGTGATTTGTATGGTCACTTTACTAGGAAAATAAGATTTGATATGCTTCACACCTGGATTGCTAAATATTTGGTCAGCAAGTTTTCGGAGTTCACTTGTCCAAGTCATTGGATTCATTTGCTCTAAAAGCTCTATTTCAATTGTCGATCAAATAAATTGTTTTGTTCGTGATTGCATATTAACATCAGCATGAGAATTAGGTTACCTCCATTATTAGATTCATGTTCATTGATCTCAAGAAGACGTTGGTTAATGGAATTCTGATAGAGAGCTTCACCTTTTCATGATAAATTCATTTGTTTCAACATTAAAAAGACAATATAGGAAATTGGTTGAACAAATAATTTATCACTTACTTCGTTCATCCATCTCTTCCAAATATTTAAGCTGCTCAATGGATAAGGAAGGAAGTAGTTGACTTGAGCTATTTTTGAATGGATAATTTGAAATTGCATTTGTTGTTTCCAATTTCTTAGGGCAAATTAATTGCCCATTCATGATTTTCTCAGTCAATCCGACAAATGTTGTTTCTAATTCACGTGACTTAGGTCGCAGTTCTGGATCTCTACTCCAGCAAGCCTGCATTATTAAGGAATAATAATCGGGTATATCTTGTGTAATGTCAGGACGTTTTCCTGTTCACAGAAATATTTTTAGAATTGTATTGACAACCATCAGAATATTGACCAAAGATTAAAAAACATGTTATGCCTTCACAAATATCTAATGCTAGAAATATGTCGTTTTTTCTTCCCTCGAATGGCCGTCTACCAGACCATAGTTCATACATGATCATTCCGAAGCTATATACATCAGCCGCTCGAGTATATGGATATCCACGTAAAACTTCTGGTGCAACATAAGGAAGCACTCCATAAATTTTCTTTTCATCTTTATCGACAGAAGTTTTGTGCCAGCAAAGACCAAGATCGCATATCATTGTCCAACTACCATGTCGTAAAATATTGCCTGTATGTAAATCTTTCTTTAATGTTGAAAATTATAGGAACCGAATTAATTTTCTATTTGCGCTAGCAGAAAACAACCTATCCTTTAACAACTTGTTAAGTATAATTACGTGCATGAATCCAGCTTTATGAATGGTCACCAATCCACTCGCAATTTCTCTAAGAGTATCTATCCTTTGTTCCCAGGTAAAAGTATTAAAGTTATTGAAGATATATTTACCAAGGTCCCCATCTTCTGCATAAGATGTAACGACGATCAACTCGCTAGTTGATGGACAGCGCGAGATGCCAAAACAGCGCACGATGTGATTGACCGATGTGCTAAATTGGTGATATGCATTCAACTAATAAATGCGATAGATTGTTAGAAATAAGAAGAAAAATTAAAATTGATTAAATTATTACGTGCCTCTTTCAAGTATATCATATTTCTGGAATTATTTAAGCGTTTCAATATTATTATATTCAAATTTGTCAGTTCACTGTCTAGTTCACAGTCATTGGTAGTTGTATCCCAGCCTCGTTCCCAGTCATTGGCAGTTGTATCCCATGCTCGTATTGGACCTTGATGCCAATTTGCCGTAAATCTAATAAACAAGGTAAGTATGAGATATCGATGCACACTGTCCATAATTATAACAAAAGCACTGATACCTATTACCGCCATCTGCGATATGCTTCACGTCCGTGAATTCTTGGTAATCTATCCACTCTAACATTGATCTAGCATTGATGGCTTTAAGTTGCGCTGCTTGAATAAACTCATCAAGTTCTTTGATACCGCTTGTCCATTTCCCGAAATTATTCTGAGTATATTCACTATTGCAGTATTTACACCAGTTACGTCCGGTTCTGAAACACTTACATTTCTCGCATTGCCCATTTTTCCCTAATGGTCTTAAAGTAGATTTTCTAGATGAAATCGGTTTGTGGGGTTTGATCCTTTCATTGAAAAGCATGACTTCTTGAACTAAGTGGGAATTTTTTGCAGACTTTTTAGACGAGTTGGCCTCACTAATTGTAAGTTGTTCAATTATTTCGGTTTGTAAAGGTGAGCTGCTAAAGGGGCTCGTAAGTCGTATTGTTTGCGCCTAATTATGTTACTTTGTTTTGAAGCAACTTTGACTTCTTCTAAATAATGAAATGGTACAAAACCTCGTTTTTCACCTTTTTTAGCTAGCCACCAACCACTATTGTTTTTTTCAAGAATTTCTAATATATCATAAGTATTAAATGATAAATATCTTGTATCTTCTTCAGCAAAACTATGAACACATTTGTAGACAGGATTTAAAGAAGGAAGTGGGGGTAGTGGTTTATTAGGGGGCGGATTATGAAAACAGACACTAGAAGGTGCTGATTGCGTTGATTGTATAGAAGCGTTTCTTAATCTTTTATTGAACCTGTGAGGTTCTGATTGCGTAGAAACGTGTGATTGCAAGGAAGCATTTCTGGATGCAATATTTGGTAGAGAAGGTTTGAAAGACGGAAGTGGATTTGACCCATAGTCATCGCATTCATTCGAACTACTAGCATTTTTTTCATCAAAAGTTTCTTCCTTAATTTGCTCGCTCGATACCGAAGCCGAATCCATTCTAGAAATATAAGGGATGGTGAGCTTCGGTGTTTGCAAACAAATGGGATAATTATTAGGAAATAAGGTTCTGACTAACGTAAGATCTTTTTGCATTTAAATAAAGAACATGATTTTCTATCATTCAAAATGACATTCCAAAATAGATTCAATAACAAAGCAATGTTACACGATTTCCAAGATTGGTTATCGTAAAAAGGCACAAAGGATTTGGGCGGTAACCGAATGTAATCCTTGTTGTTCAAACTTTCTTTGAAAGCCAAAGGGTAATGAAGCTTTCTAACTTTTCCATTCAAAGAATGTATGAATGAATTTGGCAATTTTTGATAGATTATTTGTACTACTACAGAAAGACTAAAAAGTTTTTTTTTATATTTTATAATTTTATCAATATAATACATTAAAATTTTATCAACTTATACAAATTTCTATAATAATGTAAAATACTGCGACTTTTACATAAATTTTTTGAGTTTATTGGAAAAACATGGTACGAAATCATATATTATGCCAACTTATGTAGTAGATTTACTTTTTTGCGCTGATTGAACTAACCAATTAAATCATTATATGATTAAAATAAGGTTTATACAATTACATTTTTTTTTAAAAAAAATAAATATTTTTTGAAAATTTAGTTTTCGAAAATATTCTTCATTTTTGCAGGAATTTTTTTTAGTTCGCTTTCGATAGGTAGTTTTATTTTTATTTTATTTTTTTTTTGTCACCTTTTTTTTTTTAAAAAAATATCTTTTGGTTATAACTTTTTATTTTATTTTTTTAACACGGTGGCTGCAGGTACCAGCAATTATTTCTTTTTTTTTTTTGCTCTGTTAAGATCTTCCGGAATGTCAACACCTGCTGATAATAACCATGTGGTCATCGTATCCTTTCATTAAAATAGTTTCTATTTGTAGTAATGATCTGTACGTTACAGATATCATTATGCGGAATTATTTTTAAATTTGTGGTGGCCTTCAACCTTCAATGGACGTAACTACATTTAAGGATCTGAATACACTCTGACCAAAGATTACGAATTTCAGTATCAATTT